CCAAACATGATGGCTGTCTTACAAAGTGCAAACTGTCTTACAGAGAGCTGACTGCTGTAGGAAAGAATATATTGTGTCACCCTGCTGCTGAATGTGGCTACCAGGAAATAAACGGGCAGACGTGGGCTTCTGCAGTCTTGCCTTCTACCAACAAAAGTGCCCTAAGATTCCCACTGAGGTCCATTACTCATGGAATGATTAAATAGTTTCCCAGGTTCAGTTGCCTTCCTGTTTTCCCCTTCCTGTGATGAAGTGCAAATGGCCAAATCAGGGCACATGGGCCAAGCCTAAAGAGGTAGGGCAGAAGCCAAAGGTTGCTGTAGTTTTATTCGTAGCTATAAATAGACATTGGGGAGGGAGAGAGGGATAAGGGAGAAAGAGAGATTCCACCAGCAAGCGTGAACAAATGGGAGATACTGCAGACCCAGAATGAATGGGTTTTTAAAAATACAGGGCAAACCATGACTTAGATTGATTTGGGCTGAGTGTGCTTTGCCGGTCCTTTTTCATTCTATCGCTGATGGTGGTCGTGGGAAGAGCGAGCCTCTGGTTTCAAGGTCCAGAGTAAAATAAACAAAAGTTAGGGCTGGGGAGCTTGAGGAAGTCACCCAAACCTATACCTACAGAAAAGGATTGAGATAATTATGTGCTGTTGATTTTTAAAGGCAGCTTATTAAATTAAATCTCCCTGCAATAGGCATTGGTGACTGTCAGCATTGAGTGTGTCCTATTACAGACACTGTTCTAGAGCTATTTGCACCCCTGCCCTAGTATCTGATTTTATATACTTCAAAATGTCATTAGTGCAGTCGAGTGACTTTAGTTCTATTGACAACATTAATTCTGCCTGTACAAACCAAAGGCTACTAGGGATAAGCTGACTTTTGTTTATTATCTCACAAGACTCAAGATTACACTAAACTGATTTTGGTATTTCTCCCGTCAACCTAATCGTATTGGACTTCTCCTCTTGACCAAACCATTAGAGTTGAATGCCTCCTTGTATTATATTTACACCCAAAAAAAAGTTGTGCACCATTTAAAATTACGTACAGCAATGCACAAGTGGGTGTATGTAATTGTGCAGGCTTAAACTATTAGTAAATTGAAAGGCTAGTGTGAGTGATCATACATGTCCTTTAGCTGAATCTATTTCTGAGTGCAAGTCTAAAGATCTATATCTCTTCAAGCACATGATTAATTTGTTCATGCCAGGGTTACCGATGGTTTGCGGCCAGCACCATGTCAGGCAGACCTCAGCAGGTCTGAATCAATAGGGTCTTATGTTGTCACTGTATCATAATTTGGACTGTCCCCTTCCTATTAGACTTAACAATCAGATATCAGGCAAGGATGAAATAACAAGAATAAATTCTAAACAGAGAAAAGACACTATTTTGCAAAATTATATGGAAGAGAAGTTTAGAACTTCAATCTATATTTATGTGTGTGTGGATACTGTCAGACATTATATATATTTTTGTTTGAGAGTACTAGAACATAGCTACTTGTGAAAAGTCTGGGGCCCATACCATCTGAGCATCTTTTAAGATAGCTGGTACTTTTGTTTAGGATCAGGCAAAGTAGAAACAGAATCAGAATGATCCAAAAATGATGCACACCAATTCTAACCCACCATATTGCATGGTTCATTCCTGCCAAAAATAGAATAGTCTTGTGATGCGTCCTTACTGGACACTCCTTGTCTAACTTTTCTGACTTTGCTTGTTAGGTCTTTTGTAAAGAACTCCTCCTTCCCTGCAAATCTTTTTGTCAGCACAGTGTTCACAGACATCTCACAAGTTCAATAGAAGGAGACATCTGTGAGGAAAGTATGTGACTTAACAACACAGGGAACGTGTAAGGGGCCACACCTCCAAGGAGAGGTCCGCGGAACAGGCAGGCCCTGCTGTTAGGAGGCAGATTTCTAAAACTGTGTGAACACTTTTAATATATCGCTGTTCCTCTGGGAACTGGCTACTCCTTTTCCCACTTCAGAAAACACATAATGGGACTTTGCGTTTCAATTTAATGTCCCTTGAAAACAGAAATGTTTCCCCTTATAAGAAAAAGAAAAAGTAAAGAGGTAGAGGAAAGGCAAAAGAGAGCGAATCAGCGAGTCTCCAAAATACACTGGCTCAACTAGGGAACTGCGACCAAAGCAAGCTCCATAATAGTATAATGACCTTTAATGACTGTCTTGGGAAACAATACAGCCCCGGCATAAAAGACAAAGGGCAAAACCCATCATGGTTCTGCTGACACTAATTCAAGATGATTTTCAGAACAACTAAAGAATGTAAGAGAAGTAATCTGATCCACCCATCTGACCTCACTTTGATGCAAGGGCCCTTCTGCTGCCATTTCTAATTGTCAAACCCTCTACGTCTCACATCTGTTCATATTTAATGAAAAGCCCACTCTCACCACTGCTTTTTGAGGCAACCAGCCCTGTTCAATGGGCACCACCCAACCCCACCACCAGCCAGGGGAGGCCGGGGATTGCTATTGGAGCTCTGCCAGCGGAATTCTGCAGACATAGACATCCTTTAATTGGAGAAGAAGGGCTTACGTGGGCCCACGGAGGGGCTCAAATTGGAATGGATTTTTCTAACTTATTATTAATGGTCAAAGGTGAGTGGACTCACACAGGGATGGATGAAATCTGCTTTTGTTTGATGGAGTGACGACGGCAGGGAGGCTGATGAAACAGAGGAGGCGAACCACCCCCCTGAGCTGTCAGTACCAGTTACGCCTTCGACATACAGCCCAGAGCTCCACATTCACAATGGTGGGGCTGATGCTGGATGGGTAGAAAGACAACAATCTCATGCCCGGGACGTTTCTGAGTAGATGGGACAATCCCACCCTTAATTCTTCTCCTGGCCTCCATCAACACTTGGATTAAATTGCAGAACTAAGAAATCCCTCCAGTTATGGTTTTGCCTGCATAAGATGGAAATTGCACATACTAGGCATCATGGGCCTCAAGCAGGGGACATAGATTTGCTGTGACTGGTAGAGGCGGCCAGTGCCAAGACATGACCACAGGCCTGAGTTTAGAGCCTGAGTGGCTCCTTCCTTTTCGCCACTAGATCTCTGGCCAAGGTTTTAGAGCCCGGTGGTTACTTCAAAATAGAAGTTGTGCCTTAGGCAGGTAGCCAAGGGGGCTGGTGCTTACATTTGCTGCCATCAATCAAAGAGATGCGGTCAAACTGGAGTTCATTAGAGCTCACCCCTCCACCACCCCTCCTCCCCAGCTCCTGTCTTTGAACCTGGTGTCTTGCCACACATCACAGACAAACAAGTTCTTTGCATGGTTGTGACTGAGTTCACCTTGGTGGTGTCATATGAACTGGAGAGATCTGTGATGAGGAGGATGGAGTAAGGGCACATACTGTGGCATCTAAAAGATTTCAAAGGAAATTTCCCTTTGAGGATGTTAGGCCACTGTGATTGGGACAGTCCAAAATCCCGCTCACACTACATCTATTCATTGTCACTTTTAAAACAATTAATCCTGTCCCTTGGCACTGTTCTGAAGGAGCAGTGAATCACAAACCAGAGACAATGATGATTCTCTGGTCCAAAGGCCCCTAAGACTGCTCCCAGCACAAATAATGTCTCAGACCTCAACTGTGAGTTCAGATATCAGCACCGGGCTTGCCACACTCTGATGCCACACTCCTCATTAGTGAAATGAGGGCTCCCTCAGCCCAGGACACCCCATGGATCCCACCTTCAACACTAGCATGTGAGCCAGCTAACTTCTCATGGGGATAAATTCTCAAGAGCGAACTGCTCTTTTCCCACCCTGGTGCCAGTATGAAGTAACTGCTGCTGGTGAAAATGTAGTTGAACCAGCTCTGGGCACTTAGAAGAAAAGATAATGGATATTATGGTTACCGACAAATATGGCGGGTGCTTTCAAGAGGAAGTAATGAACACAGAAGGAAGGATCGTCTTCTACTGTTCATGCTACCAAACAAGGTGACAGCCACCCTTGAAGGTATCCAAGTCCTCACGCAAACCATAACCTCCTCTGCCCTTAGACGAGGACCCTCAGTGAATAAGCTGGAAATTTCAGTAATATCACCTACGAACTGTGTCAGTGAAACACCAGCAAAGTCCATGCTAAAGGTGAGGAATGGGGGTGTGGTGAGGCTCAGACATGCCAACTGCCACAAGACCACAAGACTCTGTAACACCTCTGAGCTTGTGGAGGGCAAAGACTGACCCCAAGGATTGCACAATGGACACAAGGAAACCAGGGAGATTCTTGGCTTATGCTTTTTGCTGCTATTCAGAATCACGATTGCTACAAGACAGCTTAGTTAAACAGGGAGCTATATTTTTGGAAAAAAGGAAGTTAATAATGGACTGATCCTCTGAATGAATCATCATTGGGAGGAAAAACTCTAGAATCTACCAGCCTGTAAGGGTTGGCAGATTCAGAATATTCTTTTTCAGAGCATTAGGAGGCAAACCAGTACTAGAGGAATGAGATACAAATTAGGGAGACATTGTAAAGAAAACAAAAACCCATCTGCATGGAATCCCTGTTGTATTTTCGAAAGTATCTAAGCTCACTAAAAGCAGTTTTATGCCAGAGTTGGCTTGTTCTCTCTTCATCGTTTTCCTACCTCCTTTCAACCCAATCCAATGCTAATTCCTTTCCCCAAAGAGTAAGGTATACATTTCCATGCATCTCTGTATCAATTCAGCATTTGATGTGCTGTCACATTAATTTCTTGAAAGGAGAGAGGAGTAATGTCACTGGATTATAATATCACAGCCTGCACACTCTTACAAGAAACGTAAGTTCACAGAACAGGGAGGGAGGCCTCCCCAGCACACATACAGTGACACGGGCAGTTGAGGGCGACACGTCACCACATCCAGCGGGAGAAATACACATGGCGCCACAGGCACGACACGAGACGGGGATGAGGCCACGGACATCACAGACACGGAACTCTGCGTGTTGGGGTTAAACTTACAGGCACGGAAAGTGGTGGAGCAATCACTAACAGAGACAGAAGAAAGTGGGAAGGCTCTCTCAAGGGTGTCCATGTTACCACGCACACGGCCTGACATGCACGAGCAGTCACGCTCAGAACGTCCGCAATCAAAACAACATGCTCGTCTCATTCTCTTGTAGATGGACATCTTGGCTATAACCACAGGGGTCGGATGGGAGGAGAGGAAGAGCGGTAGTTAATGGCAAAGTCACACACAGCGAGGCAGCTGGAAGGGAGCTGCAGGGATTGAACACAGGTCTTAGTTCACATTAACAGTCTTGACCCAGAAAAAATAAAATGCAGAGAGACTGTTGGTAACAGTTTGGTTGTACATCGAAAAGAGCAGAGGAAGTATCAGTGGCCTGTAGAGTCCTCCAAGGCTGCCGCGTATTAGTTTTCTCCCCTATGTAAAGCAAGTGATCACATGAAGGGCATGGCTGATGACAACAGGGTTGTTGGATAAGAAGCAGCACATGTTAGAGATGGCAAAAATGCAACCAACATTTTTTTTTCCCCTGGCACCATTAATACAGGAGGACAAAATATACACACAGCCAATCAATTAGTTCCTTATTGGGTGCAATGAATTTTTTTTTTTTTTGCAAGATGCAAGAATATCTAATATGTAGGCTTTCTAATTTCCATCCATTTCTGGGCATTAGGCAGAGGCCGGGACAAGCTTTCATCAAATTAGATGTGAAATGATTACATGTTAATATCGAATCTGAGGATGCCTCTGTTGAACTTCCCCAGAGTGAGTTTACGTGATGCCTACAGGAATTTAAATTTACTCTTGACAGAACAAATATCCAAATCTGTCCATGTAAGAAACGCAGCTACTCAAGGCAAACGCTGCATATCTGACATTAAAAGCATTTCACAAACAAGAAATCACCAGAAGCATATGAGATGTTGGTCTGCTGGAACGCGCTAAGCCACTCATGGGTGTATTTTCTGCTTACAGCTCAGAGAATTTGAAAATCCCATCTGCTTTTCTCTCCCCACCCACCGAAAAATTCAGAAAGCTGTAGGGTTATTGGTTAACAATAATTTTTTCCTATACAGAAAATACTGGCCAGCATAGATGAGAAATTATAAAACATGAGATGAGAGAATAGATCCCACATCAAACATCCTACTGAGATCTGCTTGAGGCCTTGATAGCTTGTCTTAAGCTACTATCACAGGTTCTGCACTGCCAACCTGAGCACTAACCTACAAAACTTGTTGGACCCCAGTTATAGTTCTCAAGGCCCTTCACCTCCACCCTTCAAGCTAATTTAGATTTCAGTATAATGAGAAGCTTTTGTACCTCATTTTGATGCTACAGCAGGCAAACATCATGACTCATCTTTAGCACATGCCTGCCTGCTCCTCTCACAAGATGGGAGAATTCATGTTTATTCCAAGCATCACAGCCAAATAGTCAGCTGAACTGGAGAGGTGTTATTCCCTGTGCCCATACCTTTCATTTTGAAAGTCATTTTTCCCCCATTTTTTTTTTCTTAGTGGAGAAATGGTTGCAGTCTTACTTTAAAATATGGCTAGTGGTTTTGCCCTCTTTGAATGTTACCGTCACTAGGAAGAGAGGTTTAAATCTCTCCAATGGGTCAAGTCCTGTTCTAAGACCTTTATGACTTGCCATCCAGTCTATTTGTCAAGCAGGGGGAACGTTATGATTGTGAGGAACAGGCACTGGGGGAGATGAATGAGAGATCTCTTCAGCAGCAACTCCATTCCCGTGATCTTGGCTCACACTTCTAGCGACAGGTTCTGTTAGCATCCTAGCTAGTCAGTTGTTCAGGTCATCACCATGCAGCCCCAGCCCCGTTCGATGCGTCATTCCTGAGCTTAGCTTTCACAAAGGAAAACAGAAAAGAAAAAAAGAAAAAATTCCACTATAGCATTTGAATCAGAAGAATTTAGAAGGCACGGTATGATTGCCCAGACACCCCAAACAGCAGTTGTTGAAGTCAAGAAAGGGAAAACAGTCTTCGGTGGAAGACATGAAAATCAAGTTATTTTAAATGCATCCAGATCTGGTGCCCAACTCGCAGACCTCTTGCTTGCTTTTTCCTTCTCAGTTCTTTTACTGGAAATACTGACTTGTTATTTACACAGAGGAGGGAAACGAAGATGATTTTTTGTTTCACTGTAGATAAATTGTTTTGAAAAAAAATTTTAATCAAATGCTGTAGCAGAAGAGAAGCCCATCAAACTCTGAAATGCTATGCTTCTCATTAGCAACAGTGCCTGGTTTTCGTTTTCATACTGCCATTTTGGGTTCATACACAGTAATAGACTCTGACACATTTTATAGGTAAAAAAAAGTTCTTATATGTATACCATCTTTAAGGACAAGGGGAGGGAGGAGGGGGTGGAATAACTTTTGAAATGGTTTTGTCAGGGGTAAACCCATCATAATGGGTGATTGAAACCTCCTACTTGATAAGGGTTCAGGAGGAAACACAAACTTCAAATCAGTGCCTCTCGGGGACTGTTTGCAATTGTTACTGTTGGCTCTTCTGGAGACCATGCATTGTTCTAAAATTTCATAGTGTTAGCATGCAGGAACAGGCTGAAACTGGTAATCAAAGCAGCAAAAAGGAAAAAAAAAAAAAAAACTTTTGCTATAAGAAGATTAAATGTTAATTGTCAGCACTTACATTCCAAAGCAGCATATGCATAAGAAAGAAAACATGCTATTTCTTGTCATTCCTTCCCAGTCATCAGTTTTACAGTCACACCAAATCCAAAATAGAAATCTCAGGAGACAAAGAAGCACCACCACCACACACACACACACACACACACACAAATCAGCAAGAGTGGTCAATGAGAGGCTCAAAGACAAGACAGAAACAGTTAAAAATGATTGAGCCCCACACGCTGATAAACCTTTGTGAATTACAGCGTCTAGACCAAGGTGCCACCAATTAGGAGGTTGGCACTTTTGCTTTACTTCTCAAATAGTCCATTTTCACTGATCCCCCATCAGTTGTCTTCACCTATATACTTCTGGGTCCACTTTCTTAAAAGATAAGGCCCATTCTGACCTCCTTCTGGTGATTGTGATCCATCGAGCTTGAAGGATGCTATGTCCCAGCCAGGAAGAACCTTCCACTGGGCCATGTTATGAGTCACAAATAGGCTCTTTAATTAAAAATGGATGAGGATGTGTCTCTCTGGTAGTAGCCGTTCCAGGAGAAGTATATGCTCCGTGTGTAAAATTATACTTTCAAGTTGTAAAATAAAATTATATAAAAATTAAGTCATGGATCTCCAACTTTAGAAAACACTGTCCCTCAACCTCCTCGACTCTCTCTCTCCTTCCTAATCCTTCATTTTTGTTTTGGTGAATCGAGGCTGTTCAGAATTAGCTGGTGTTTTTTATTTCCATGTCTCCATGATTGTTTCCTCTTTTAGAGGTAATGTAGGTTCGAAGGTTAATTTCAGATATCAGAGTGCCACTTAAAACTCCCAAGGTTAGGTTTCAAAGGGCAATTGTGAAAGTTTCAGTATTTATTTAAAACAGAAGTTAAGTTTCCTATCTACTCCCTGGCCACATAGAGTGCCATCTCTCCTCTGGTGTTTGCTGATTTTCTTTTTTTATCTAGTCACCTAATGCTCTCTTCCCCAGTCCCCATCCTCAGAAAAGGGAGTTTTCCACAGGATCTCAATAGTCATGCTAAGTAGACCTGTAAGGACATCTAGTGGATTTGTATGGAAGAGCAGCTAGTTAACAGACCACCCGAATAAGCTGCTTGCCTCTAAGAATTGAACCCTGCAGTGTCATTTCAACTCAACGGCTTCTCCCAATCCACAGAAGATTTTTAAGGGAGAGCCAAGATGAAAGCCAGAGAGGTTCCAGGACATGGTCTTAGAGTGGTCAAAAGTGGCAGTTTGCGTGAGCTGTGCAGTCACGGCCCAGAGAGCAGGACCGCTTCGGCACCAGCTGGCTGGGTCTCCTTAGAGCCCTGTGATAGCTTCCTGAGACAGGGAACAGACAAGAGTGCATTGCGGAGAGGTGTCCATGATGCAGCTACATGTCATTCCATTTCAGCATTCTTGGAACTTTACGCTCAATTAACTGTCCCCATCGGCTGGCTTAACTCTGGGAATGCAGAGACATACAAGCCCCTGGAGACTCCGTTTTCCCTTTGGCCCACATCATAAGGTTCTTGTTCTTGGACTAGTGGCACAGATTCAAAGAGGTTATGTGGTTGCCAAGAATTAGACCCTAGGTCCCACCTTTCTCCCCAAGAAGTCTGTCCTAGCAGTTTTACAATTTGAGAAAAAGCTTTTATGTCCTTTCCTTCACTACGATGAAGTGCATATTCATCCAATACTTCCATTATGACTTCCTAGTGCTATTTTTAGAGGCAAAAGTATTTTCCTCATGGACATCATCAAAGCTGTTTACTCAAGTGTTGAAAACTGGAAGATCTCTCAGACATATCCTTGGACAACTTTTCTTATACATGCAAAGGTCTTGATCATGAGAAAGGAAACCTGTAGAGAAGAGGCTGCTGTAGATTAGCTTAGTTACTGCTCTTTCCTTGTGACAAGCTGACAGTCAGTTGTCAAGTTCAGGTTCTCTGCTGGTTAGCCCTTCAGAGCCAAGCTTGGAATGGAAGAGGGAGTTGGATTCCATCCCGTTCTCACACCATCTGCCTCCTGAATCAGCAACCAAATTGTCAGCCAATTTCCAATTGTAGAATCTTAATTTCCAGGGTGGGCTGGAAGGGGCAGGAAAAGCAGTGCTGGACTAAAAGCTTCAGGTGGAGTTTTCCAACTGCTGGGAAAAAATATTTTAGGTTTCAAATGGAGCAATTTGAGGCAAGACTGGAGTGGAAGAAAAAACAAAACAAAAAACCTGCTCTTCAATTCAGATTGCAACTTCATGTTTAAAATCAGGAAGGCTGAACTCTAGAACTGCTCTTCATATACTTGGCAGCAACTTAAATGTTAAGTCAAAATATCCGTGGAAGAAAAAGTCCACTGAGGGGTAAGACGGAGGCATCTGTTTGATGGAACAATGGGAATCCGAGAGCATTCTTTCAAGTCCTATAAACGGGGAGTGATGTCTTCTCTTGGCGAAATTCTCCAAATAGCTTCTGGAGGGAAGAGAAAGACCTTCCCAGGTAGTTTTC